GGGAGGCCGCTTTGATTTATTAGGTGTGTGGTTCCTGTTATTTTGTGCTTCCTGTTTTTTTCTTCTTCTATTTTTAAAGAGCAGTTCAAACACAAAAAAGAGAGAAGAAATGTGGCCAGAGAAAGAAGGAGCAGGAAATGCCAAAACACTAATGTGAATGTAATTTGTAGTTAATGTGTATTGTTGCCTAGAAATTTGGACAGCCAGGCGTTTCGCCCCAGCTCCAGGTCTGCCATTCGTTCATTTTAATTGCTCAAACGGAAAGTTTGCAGCCGCTTTAGAGAATTGCTTTGTGGAGCTGTTAATAGTCCACCAAAATGCCCATCAACATGTCTGATGAAATTATTGCAGTAGAGAGCATAAATTTCATCACTACCGCATTATGCTACATTCTTTCCATATCTCAAGCTTTTTCACAACTCTTGAAGTTTATGTGGAATAGAAGGAGTTTGTGTTCCAGCTAAATATGCTCTATAAAAGTAAGATATGAGGTGTGCCACGTAATATATATTTACATACATATATTCGATCTGAAAGGATGGTGGAGAAGACCATCGTAATTTACAAAACTTTTGCAATGCAACCCTTTATTAGATATAAAAGAAAATAACTAAAAATTTATAGACTGGCCTAGCTACTACGAAAGGCCTCATTTAAGTCTAAAGTATTTAACTCTCAGCTTTTAAAATAGTCTCTCCCTGTTAACACTTGTTTTTTGCCTCTGCTCAATGTTAAATGTTAAATGGCAACCGATACTTCGAAAGTCGTCAGTCGCGCTTCCGACTTCTCTGCCAAAGCCATGCCCATGCCCGCCGCCGCCTCACTTCCTACTCCTTTGGTCCTTTGGCTGTGCGACGATGCCATTAAAGTCCATAAATCACAACATAGCATAGAAATAAATCAAGCCTTTTATTATCAACACATCGCAATGTTTGTTATCGAAAGGGTTATTTATAGTGCTCCTGGGAGCGACGCCTGGTTGCGGGGCGTCAAGCGGAGGCCACGTGGCCTGCCACTTGTGTAATTTCCGACCGGGGGAGGACTGTTAATATGCATGGAATTAAGAGCTGGGCTCAAAGTTCAAGGTTGAATCCGGTCGAGCCCAGTCGCTGACCGCATTGCCTACTTTTAAAAGAGACAGACAGGCCGTTTAAATGTCAGTGCGTGTGTGTGTGTGTGTGTGTGTGCTGTCTAGCTCATTAAACAAATCGCATTATTTGCTCATAAGAATCCTAGTTGAAGCATTTGCAGTGCTCTAACCTGTCGCACGCTCTGACAGTCGCACAAGTTGAAGCTTCATTTGCTCGCAATTGAAAGGCTGAAAAGACTGACGACTCGAGTGCTCTCATATGCCAAATGAATACATCATTAGCTGCCATGAAATGTCCTTGCCTGCACACACACGCACACACACACACACACACATATATACGCTAGAGACAACAAGCAGCAGCACAAGTGGCCAAAGCCAACCGAGTGGCAACGAATTGCGACTAGATTTGCTCTGCTGAAACTCCCCAACTCCCCCGTTGCCTGCTAGTCCCTAGTTACTGGCCCCGGCTCCATAGCTCTGGTCGCATTTTCTGCCCAAGTAGCACTGGCTAAAAAGCTACTTAAACTTCTTAACTTTCAAGTGCTTATGCAACTTGTTAACTAATTATGTGTACAGCAGCAATAAGTTTACCATAGCTATGCTCTATATAAAACTCATGCTTGGATATTCAATACAATTGAGCTGGCTTCAATGAAGCCAATTAGATCAGAAATAGATACACTTTAAATTACACTCTAAGAAATTATTTTCGACGAACATCTCATGATGAGCATATAAGGGAAGTTAAATCATAAATGGATGCTCTTTAAATTACACTCAAAAAAATATTGTTATTAATATTTACGGAAAACATTTGCGTTAAAAACAATACGAATTTTAACTTATTAATTTATTGTTTTTTTTTTTTAGGTTGTTTTTATAAAAATCAATTAAAAACATGTGTTAAAAAAAATAAAATTAAATGAAATAATTTAAAATTATTGTTAACATTGTATTAACATTAACCCACAAATATTTTCTTTGATTTTGCCAAGGACGTTTTTCATTGTTAAGTGTTGGTAAACATTAAAATCAGTATCAGCAATTATTAAGGGCAAAAAGCAGTTGAAGGTTCAAGCTTATGGCAGCAGACAAATTACCTGGCGAACTAATAGGGTATGCATCATGAAGGGATGCAAGTGCAATTGGCTCGGCAAGTGTTTGATAAGAATATTGCCAGGGAAATGGCAAACGTAAAACGCAGCGCACACACACACACACACACACACACACACACACGCTCACATGATAATTTACCGTGTTTGTTTTATAAGACTATTAGGAACTCAAAAGCAATTAAGGTTTGCCAAAAGGCAAGCCAGGTATGTTATTATTTATGAGCATGTGGGCGTAGCATTTGAGTACATACATATAAGTATGCATATATATATATACATATATACTTATATGCATATGTGAGCTTGCCTCGTTTATCGGCACGTTTCTAAGCAGCTTGTTGACAAGCAAATTGCGGAATAAATACCACTCAAGATGCTCAAATAATCGCAATGAATTTATGCAAAATTAATTTTTCACTTTGTTGCCGCAAACCAAAAGGAAACTGGGAAATGCTTGCTCTTCTTTTTTGCAATTATTAAATAAGAAGTTAGTTTTGCATCATATGTTTTCTAATGTTAATTGGGTTGCTTTAACACTACTCCACATTTTTATACCCTAAACCCAATAAAAACGGGTAAAAAGGGTATAAGAGGCAGAAGGAAGCATCTCCGACCCGAGTATATATTTTCTTGAACAGCATCAATAGCCGAGTCAATCTAGCCTTGTCCGATGTCTGCCCGTCCGTCCGTATGTATGAAGGCAAGGATCTCAGAAGCTATGAGAACAAGAGACTTGATTTTGAAAGTAGCGCCTCCTAGTGCCCGCGCAGTACAAATTTGTTTCCGATAATCGATAACTTGCCCCGTTTGCAAACAATCGATTAAAATCGACATCGAAATCCTTTTTTTTTTACAAATCTTAGGTTTTAGGTTACTTCTTAAGTTGTATATATATTTATCAAGCATCTTTAATTCTTTAGCTATTTTCGTCAAAATGAATTGTTAGTATGGGCTCAAGTCTTATTAAGGGAACTATTTTTGTTTTAAATAGAGCGAGGGTATCCCCTAGTCGGGAAGTCCCGACTTGAGCCTCTTACTTGTTTCAAATTGTGGAATGCATTTTTGTTTTAATTACTTTTTTAGAAAGCAAATTCTGACATGTTTGCTAATAAAAACAACATGTATATCATATTGTTGAACAAAAGAGTATGCATTTTGAATTCAAAAGAGGAAAAACTAATTTTTTTCAATATAATAGAAACTAAAACAATATTGATTAAATGGAGCTTACACGCATAATGAATATAAAGTAAGCCAAAATTTAAATAAATTATTCACCATTGTTATTTCAAAAATAATACAAAGACGAAAAATAAATAAACATGTTGCTTGACCCATTTTTGTTGTTCTGGCAGTTCTATTTCCTTTGCCGCGAATTTAAATCAATATGCATCGAAAGTAAATTAATGCGAATCCGGTTTCGCACCAATTGCACAAATCTAATTAGCGCGGCGGAAAATGCGCGCCACAAGCTTTCTAAGCATTGGAGAAATCATTTTCAAAAGCTGGCAACAACGACAAAAATCGAAATTAAAATCGTTATCGATATCGAACACTTTGATCAATCTTGCGGCAAAGGGATATCCGTTCGTCTGCCGCAAAATGTGGCCGCGTCAGGGAACACGGCACACGGCATTTTTAATTAAATTGTTACCTGCAGCCATATTCAAATATCTCAACAGCTCGGCAGCAGCTGCTCAATAAATTAATTTCCTTTTTCTCTTGAATGGCACGCCGCGACTCTTCTATTAAAATTTTAGCTAGTGATGAAAGTACACTAGATTTTATCACAAAATACAGACACGAGCTGACACGACGGTATGTCAAATTTATATTTAAATAATATATATTTGCAAGGAATCTTTTGTAGATATATGTATTTATATAGATATTTATATATTCGCTGGAAGCAAATAAAACACGTTTCCATCTTGAATTCGTGGATTTGATTTTCTGCTTTTGTAAATTCACAGCTAATCGATTAAATGGCGAAATCAAAACATTTGTGTAAAACTCTTGGAATAAATTATTTGCAATCGTCAAAGTGCTAAAATCAATTGTCCTTTAAGCCTGTGCAGCACAATTAATTGTTAACCCAGTTGGCCAACTTGGAACCCTTTTTGCCATTTGCTTAACGATGCTGAAATTAAAATTTACTTTAAGCATTGAGGCAAATTTGGGCTTAATTTAAATGCCAATTGCTTGGGCCGAATAAAAAAAACTTTGCAGACAATTGAAAAGTAGCGGCCCGAAATGAAGTGCAAATACAAAAATGTGCGCAAATCAAAGAGAGAAACGATAGAGAGAGAGAGAGAAAGAAATCTAAAAAGCAATCCAAACAATAAATCACACCTTTGTCACTCAATGCGCCCGGCTTTTTTTCAATTAAAAGCTAAAATGCCACCTTAGAAATTGCTTTGGCCTTTCGTCGACGCGTCGCCGGGACATGTAATTAGTTGACAAAGGTGTTGTTCGGGGGCTTAATTGAATTTTTATCTCAGCTCTGTTCTAAACGCTACCCGTGAAAGGCTTCAATTAGAACTCGACTCGATTCGAGCTGGGGCCAGACGAGACGCAACGACCGAACACCCAGCGAATGCCTGCAGCAGACATTCAAAGGCAATGTAAACTCATGCAAATTTTGCTGAGTACTTTCATAAGAGTTGAAAGAATTATTCTCAGAATTAACAATTAGAAGTGGAGGCAAATATTTTAAATTCTGTTTAAATTTCAAAATTCTGCTAAATTTTATAGAAAAATTGGAAATTGAAAGTATTTTAAGTACTTACCCAATGATAAGACAGCTTTTTATACTCCAGATAGTTCTGACTAATATAATTTGGTATCTAAGATCATTTTATGGTAAACATTTCCCTTTGCTGTAGGTGTAGCAGAAGCCCAATTGCATACCTATAAAGAAACAATCGATAAACGATCTTATATGTGTTATAATACTTATATAAATTTATATAGATTATAAGAATGTCATGAAATCAAGACTGTAAACAGGATTGAAACCACATCAAACCTGGAAGTTAAAAGAACTAATTGTTCCAAAAACCCAAACCGAACTTTATCTTTTTTTAAAAAAGGTTTGACTTAAAATTTATATACCTTTCAGGGGGAGACTCAGCCCCAAATAGTTATCATTGAACCCAACAATATTTGGTAGATGCCAACTTAAGGTGTATATAAAATGAAGCCTGCAATTTCTATATGAAAATATCTAAGGCTTAGAATATTTACAGTAGAACGGGCAGTTAGAACCTTAAATTAAATTTTATTTATTACAAATTTGAATATGCATAAATGACAGCCTAAGTCTTAAGCCAAAATCTGGCTTCAGCTTCACGAACCAAATCTATTGCCAGAGATTTGATTTGAACCCTAAATTGAACCAGCAACTTTTAATTTCGCTGTCTTTCACAAAATGGGTAACTCTTTGAAGAGGTTAGCTCCAAGTCCAAAAGGTATACAAATATTTAATCAGCATCAAAAGACGAAACCATATTAACATGTAAACATTGGAATACAAAGTCTAAAAGTTAGTTGTAAGTAAAAATACAATTTTAGCTTAACTAAATAATCTAGTCTAGAAGTTACTTAAATAATAAAACAAATATAATTATAACTTAACTTAAGTCTTACTAGACTTATGTTTACTTATATTTACGTCCGATTTTTAAAAACAGATTTAAGTTTCATATTTTAGAATGAACCTCAAACCTGAAAACTCTTTGTTCAGTAGTCCCTTTGTGCGGGTTACTTAGGCAATCCATCTGCCGAGTCCTTGTGTTTATATACTTAGATATATATGAAGGCTTACAGGTACTTATTGCATATATATATATTATATTATAAGTGCTTACCAACACATATATATATATATATAGAAATTTAGATAAATACATACAATCTACACACATTTTTGTAGTTCAAATAAACTTCTTTAAGGCCAGAAATAATTGCTGGCATTGTCAATTTGTATAGTCGAAGGACTCAAATCATAAATTGGCATTTTTATTGAGAGTCAACAAAAGGGGCAAAACACTTTTAATTGCTATTACTTACAGGGCAGGGACTTTGGGGCGTGGTCGCACACCATTGTTGTTGTTATTGTCACAATTGTTGATTTCTCGCTCTCTCTGTGTTTTTTTTATTCCTAAGCGCTTCATTGTTTCGCTTTTGCTTGTGGTCGGATTTTGATGCCCATTGTTATTGTTATTGTTGTTGTTTTTGTTGTTGGGTTGACAATCGTCAGCGTTGTCGTAGTTTGTGGCATCATACCGCAGCAATGTCAGCATAAGCCGATTGCGTGGCATTTGCCATTGTCCGACTGTTGTTGTACAGCGTTTGCCCAGAGTTGGGGCGAAATTCTCTACGGGGAATTACGCGTAAATTCCACCGCACACAAGTCGAATGATAAGTCAATTGTTGTCTGGAATCCCCACTTCTGCTGCTCCATCGCAAAATAATGAACAGCGTCCGGTTGCAGTTCCACTAAATAAACAATTGACATGCGATTTGTTTGGAGCCATCAGAAAAACACACACACAGAGTGAAAACTGGGCGAAGACAATTGCAACAGACTTGAGCTCTTGGGTTCTCCATTATTAACTGCATTTAGTTTCAATTTGCGGCGACGATCTAATTGTGCATTACGTCTCCAGACCTGGGCCTGGCCCCTGTTACGCTCAGTTTGTTTGCCCAGCACACACGCACACTCGCACACCCGCACACACACATCGCTCACAGCTGGCGCAGACCCAGTCGAGTTTTATGGCCAACAATTGCGCTTAAGTGGACCCAACTTTACGAGCTCTCTTCCTTTCCCCTCTAGCTCTTGCCATTCAGTGTGACTGGTACTGGGATTGGGGCTTAGGCTTGGTTCTGGGCTCCTCAGAGCCGCATCGGTTGTTATAGAACAATTCAAAATAGCACGCAAGCCAAATCAAGTTATGTTGTGTTGCAGTGGGTGTGCGCGAGTGTGTGTGTGTGAGGAACGTCTTCTTGTTGCCACTTTGATGTTGACATGCAAACAGTAGCTCGCTGCGACAACAAGTGCGCTGTACAAGTGTCAAGTGCTACACGCGTAGATACCCTGTAAAGGAAATATTAAGTCATACATTCTAGAATGTAAAATAAAAGCAACATTTCAATCTTGCAATACCTTGAGTTAAATAAAGCAAATGAAAGCTCAAGTGGTAAAGATATTGTGTGCAATTATTTCAATGTGTTTTATTGTGAAATAGTTTTGTTAAACATATTTAAATAATTATAATTATTAACATCTTCAAAAACTTAAGTAGAAGCTCAAGAAAGTATGCTATAATAATTTAATAATTCATAAATACATCAGTTAAACCTAGATATAGGGAAACAACTTGACAAGACCTATAAGAACGTAGCCTCTAGAGCTAATACGCCCATTTAGGGCGCACGGTTCATGGTTATATATCCTGCAGCAAGGTGGAGGCCGCTGAATAAACAGTTGCCATGGGAAATTATTAGAGACAAATAAATTAAATTTTATAGCACCGTGCACTGAAGGTGCCGACAATAGAGGGCGCCAGCGTGCCATGCTGCAGGGTAAGCCAATATTTTATGACTACTTAATGCGTGCTGCCACCACTAGCATCGCGACCAGCGTAGAGGGAGGCGTAAGCGGTGCGGGGCAAATCGTCAATACAATTTTGATTGCCGTTTGTTGGCAATTATGGACTTAGTCGCCTGTTTGGCTGCGCTTTATTGTTGTTCTTGTCGGGCATTTGCTGATTTTTGGGTTGATTTTTGGTGGGTTTTGTGAATTTTCTGGCTGCCGTGGGTATATATATAGGTTGGGGCAATGGCCAAGTGCACTTCAATTTCATTCAGCTCCATTAATGGCGCAACATGCAAACTAAAAGTTAAGTTTTATGCCAGCCAAAAACAACAACAGCAACAAAGGGGAAAAACATAAACAACAAGACGTAACAAAGCCCGGCGCCCGCATTTAACAAAGTTATTGGGGCTGCCACAGCCGCCCCTGCCCGCTCCCTTTACAGCCCGCAGCAGCTGCAGCTGACCATCATCAACACCAGCTTACACCCACTCCGGCCCAACGCGTTCTTTTTCTCTCCTTCTGGGCCACCTTTTGTTTTTTACAAGCACTTTGCAAATATTTATGGCTGAAAGCAGCGTAAACAATAAGCTCATAAACTGCAGCGTCGCTGACGTCGACGTCGCAGTCGACGCCGCAGTCGCCAGCGATAGTAAGCGGGACAAAGCGAGCAAATCGATTTTCAAAAATGAATTATGTTTGCCACGTTATGCACTATATATACATAATTAAATATATATATATATATTATGTATGCACGCAGTCAGCGCTATATGTTCGCATATAACTTATTATGTATTCGATATTTTGTTAAAGTACTGAGATGCTCTCTGTGAACGTGTTGTAGCGCATATTTGGGGCATATATATTTGCAGTTACAGTTGGTAAATTTCGATCATTTTAATATGTTAATGTGTAAAAGTTGAAGAAAGGAATAAAATACGCACACTTTTCTTAAAATTTAAGCACAAAATCAGATTATTAAAATTTCTAATTATATAACCATTTAGTCTTACAATTTTTGATTTGCATTTAAAAATAAAAACATTTTAGTATACGAACATTTTTCTGCATAGGGTATTAAGCAGTCGGTTAGTCAGTGTATATTATAGTTTTTAATTTTGATAACAGAGCCGAGGCTGATGAGCACAAAGTTCGTCATTGTTGGCATTTTTCATGTTGTTTATTTTGCACTCAGTCATATGTCAAAGGCTCCAGAAAACACACCCGAATACACACACCCATATATATAAATGTGTGTGTGTGTGTGTGTGTGTGAGAGAGAGAGCTTGAACCTGGTCACGTGCTGTTGCAAGTGCATTTTATAAATTAGCAAATATTTTGGCAACAGGCTTTGTCTTACGGTTCTCAGTTCGACTCGACTCGACTATTTGCTCAACATTTTGTGAGCCAGAGATTTCTGTTTATGTTGCGTAAACATATGCTATTTGTTGTGTGTGTGTGTGCCTGTGTGTGTGTGTGTGTGTGTGAGTGTAAGCGCTGCTGCGCCATAATTAGAAGGCGTTGCTGCGTAAAATATTCCAAAATGTTCAGGTAAACAACAGTCAACGGCCCATATGTGAGCTCACAAACGGAGTTGCAATTAGGTAATTTAACAGATAATACTACAAGAGAGAGAGAGAGAGAGAGAGAGAGAGAGAGAGCGAGAGAGAGAGAGAGAGAGAGAGAGAGAGAGAGAGAGAGCAATGATGACAGCTACAAAAGTTAATATTAACAATCTAACGAACTGGAAATAATCAAAATTAAACTGGCACTCAACGTGTATTGTTTTATTTAATGCGAGAATTAAATGCAATTTATCTTTAAAATATGAATTTCCATTACGATTTATCTTCTGTTTCCCAATATGCGTGCATAATTAATTGTGCTTAATCATTAAAACAAAACCCATTCAATTGATTATTGTATTTTCCCCACCAGACTCTAACTCGGTTTTAGCCTAATAAACTGACTGACTTTTTGGTAACAACAATCAGGTACAATGCGTATTGTGTGGCCTATGCTAACTGATTGGCCCAAATGTCAAATCCGACTGAATGCAAATTCGTAACTATTTATCGAGCACAGAAAGTTATCAGTGGCAAATATAAATACAACAAAACACACATACAACAAAAAAAAGACGACTAACACTAACTCATAACAATAGCAATAACATTTACAAATTGTATTTCCATGTTATTTTTAAATATTACAACTTTTCTATGCTCTTTCTAATTATTTTTTGATGTAGTTCAAGCTGTTTTTTTTTGTTTTTAATTATTTTATAAGAAAATTATGAGCCATACGT